CATATTATATATCACCTATAATCTCTACTGCAGCAGGAGTACAGACAGCTTGTTTTCTGCTAACTGTAAATAGAAATTACTTTAATCTTTCCTAAAATGTTTACATGTAATTGAAGAAGTGTCTGATAAAAAAAAAAAAAGCTGTAAAGATAAAATTCTGTAAACTATGATTGCACAACAAAGCACTCTGTTATATTAAATTCATTAAAGTGTAGATAGAATAATAATAATAAATTAAATTCCTCTGTTACTTTGTTATTCTTCCTGTTGCATGTATCTTAGTGTTTCTCTATTGATAAATGCTAGTACTTTGCTTCATAATTTATATTTTCAAGATGCTTCAGAAGCCTATAACCTTATCTAAGCTGTATAAAATTGAGCAGTACGTATCGTCCATCTAGGGGGATCATTATATGTTCTCGTTCGCTAGTTATGAATAGCCTACAAATACCACTCAGTTCATTCTTAGCTCTTTTTAATATTGTAAAACCAGAAAGACTCAAAAAGTTGTTATTATGGTAGATGTTCTGCACATTACCAAAGTGGGAAGAGAAGAGATGCAGTAGTTTCTTCTTTTAAAATAATTGTTTCCTGCTAAAGAGCCTAATCCTGCACCTACATTTGTAGGTTTTGCATCTAAATTTATTTTTAAAAGAAGGATCCTACAAAGAGAAGCTTCTCCTTTAAATGTTTAATTACAGTTCTTCCAATAAACCAGAAAGAACTGTCTTACTGAACAGTTCCATTCTCAGATCTGCCACTTAAAATGTCATGTGACTTTGGATTAATTACTTAAAGGCTGTGACTTGTTTCCTCTATCTGTAACAAAGAAGTAATTCCTACATACCTTGAACTGGCTCTGAATGTGACTGACTAATATATGTGATCTTGTGATTCTCCTCAAAAGCACTGAAAACTAAGGTCAAATTTTGCTTGCTTTTTTTCATTGTCAATACCTGACTTTCAAAATAAAAGGATCTTGAGATAGAAGTAGTGTGTCTTCTTTGGTTGTATTCATTTTTAATCAGATTGGTCAACATTTCTTGAAAGTATTTGTGCAGTATTTCAAAGCTTTTAAAAATGTAAATGCTTACTGAAGGTGCAGGCTACTTAAGCTGCCTTCCATTTGTGCCATTAGGAACATGATTTTTGTAGGTAACATTAAAAAAAATATAAATTTATATGATTCCTATCATCGGTTAGTTCATAGCAACAATAGATGAATGTTTACGTGGCAAGCTTCTGTACAGATAAAGCTGAATTTTTCGTATATGACAGAGGAACGTTGTTAAATAGACAAGGTCAGCCTCCACCATTTCTCTATTAAATTGATCTGGGGAAAAAAACAAACCAGATTTGTTAGTCTTCAAAGAAGTTCTATCTTCATTTATCCAGCCATGTTCATATATCTAATTTCCATTCTCAACGTTTTCATTCTGCGTCATATTTCTTCTTTTATTAGTACACACACGTAGTAATAAAGCAGCTTACAGTTGTTTTTGCCTGAAATGCTATTTAGATATGTTAAAAATTTGTTTGTTTACATGTCTATAGTTTTATTGAGCAGGACTTGTAAGCTAATCCAAAGAAACAAGGGACAGCCTGCTTCAGTAATAAGAGAAACTCTTCAAACATAAAGCCTCCATCAGGGCTTTTTATGTGTTCTTCAGAGGCTGTCTCACCCATTGTGTTTTGTAGGATTGCTATATCCAGTTATCTTCATGACAGAGCTGGGAGTTCAATTTCTTTGAGGACGCCTTGTAACAAATGAGTTGCAGTCATAAACCACATTTCACGTTGTCTCATCAGTTTTTCATGAGTGGGCCTGACCAAGAATTTGTTTGGAGTTTGTGGCACACTCCAAGGAACCACATCATTCATTTGATCGTATCTTTTCACTGGGTCCCTCTACTGTCCTCTACCTGAACTGACTTCAGATATATTGAGAGACATCTATGAAACAGAGTCAGAGTTTGCGTCTTTGCTACATTTTTGTAAAATCGGATCAGAAATCTTGAAAAATGCAGACGATAAACCAAAGAAATATACCTAATGCACATAATTGGCCATAAAATAGCAGGTTTCTGATAGTCTTCCGACTCAGATAGCACAGTAACACTATGCCAGTAAGAAATACTGTGCAGTCTGGTGTATCACTGAAGGCTGTGAAATGTACCAATTTATATTACCTAATTACAATTAGAGAAATCTCTTTGCTTAATACGTTTTGCTAATTTAAAATTGAAGCAGTTTTCAAAATGCCTTGTTCTTTATCTATGGGAAAGAAGATATATATCAGATATGATACACACATGTGAATCCTCACATAAAATTCTGTTAAAGTCAATATTATCTACATAAATATATATTCTTACTAATGGTTTTGACTGCCAGTTTTTTTCATTCCTTTGTCCATCATCCTCAAAAACAGATGAATTAGGTTCCCTACTTCAGCTTATACAGTTGAAAATGACTTTTGAAAAATATAGCAAAAACAAATTTGGAGAGAAAAGCTCTTAGAGAGTGCCACAAAGCAAGTGTGTCTCCAAATATAAGAGCAAGTACGAAGTCAGGGAGATTCAGAGCAGATACTACAAAAACTGGCAGAATTGTGCCTGGTAAAGGGGAATTTGTGTTTCAGACTGAGGAACAGAGGACTCTTGTGGCAGCACAAGTCTTACTGCACATCTTAGTGGCTAGAGTCTTTAGCACGGAGCATAAATAAATCAGTGCCACTTACAGAGTTAAGTTGATTTTTCACTCTGCTTAGATCAAAGATTTTAATTGTGTGTTTGAAAATATATAAGCCAGGGAAGATAGAGAGGATGTAAAGGTAAGAGGAGAAGTGGAGTAGCAAGTGTGCAACACCTTCACCATTTGCTATATATTATAGTAGTAAGTATATAAGTGTTAGGAAAATTCTTGCAGAGTTTAAAGGTTAAAGGTAACAGTTTAATTGGGAAGGTGTCCGTCTCCTTCTCTGCCTTCTCATTTCTGTGTGACATGTGGTAGTTGAATAGCATCACTGAGGCAAAATTGTTACAAGAAGGCAAGTTCAGATCTCACGTAAACAGAGGAAATTCTTACTGACTTCAGAGAGACCTGAACACTGACTCCAGTTAGTGAATTTTACTCTTTGCTCGTGCATGCCAAAGTTGTAAAAACTTGTTTGCCCTGCCCTTAGGACCGGGTAGACTTAGAATAAAACATCATTGCATAGAGATGTGGTGTTTCCAATACTAAAAAACTTCTCGATGTCACAAAGCGTAATCACCAACATTAACCATCTGAAAGTTAGATGTCTACTCAAAGTGAGTCTACGCTTAGGGAGACAGGCGCATTCTGAGGGGGATTAATCCCATGCTAAACTCGATGCCTAAACTAGATCATATAAACTTTCCTCAGGATTTCCTTATTCTGTTGAATACAGAAGGAGTCCAGTGATAGCTGAGATCAAATTCCTCCTCGCAAGTGTCTGATTCTGAGTCGAATTCCATCTGGTTGGTCTATTCTGCTTGTATTTTAGAGTAAGATCTTCAGAATTTTTATTCTTCAAATGCATTTGTTGTTTGCAAAAGATTATCAGAGTTTTTAGTAATGGTTGGTACTTTTACTTGCAGACTCTTAATCAGCTAGTGATTTAAGGCTGTAATTTATGCTGTGAAGAATTGTGTGAAAAGTGATATTCTGTGTAATATTAGATGAAGTAATTTCTTCTAAAAGTAAACTTCAACAGATTTATATTTCTTTTTTTCTTCTAAGTGTTACATTTATACAAAGTCTTTCGGGATAGATTCAGGTAATACAAATATTAGAAAAGTTTTTCCTCTTAAGATTTGTTCATGATTTGTTTTATTAATAATAATATTATTTTTGCTGATTTACAGAAGACTGGAATGTCCTGCAAACATCTCAGAAAGCTGTATTTATATGCCAGCTTGCTATTATATACAGAAAAAACATTTGAATTTGCTAGACAAGCGAGTGGCTGCTTTTTCATGGATGGAAAACTTGGCCTGCTGACAGCTGTTAGACTGTGTCCTGGTTAGCTCCAGCAGGGATTTCACAGTGTGTCTGCTGCAGCGGCTCGGCTCATACCTCAGGCTCTTCCATAGGTCTTTTCTCTTTTACATATACAAGCACACATGCTTGCTGTGTCTTTCCCACTCACACATGCATTCCTGAGAGCATGTGTGTAAATGGGTGTTTATACATATGTACACGCTTCATCTCAGTATGTAATGAACAGACAATAAAGCTGTGTCCGAAAGAGCATCTACACAAAAATGCATTCTTAAATTTTAGTGGACAAACTAATACTCTTATGACAAGGTTTCCCTAACTTTCAGTTTTCAGTTAGGAGTGACTAAGAACACGTTTCTCTCTGCAGAGACCGGCTGACTGAGGTAGCAACCCTTGGTCTGTACTCCGATATATCCCTGGAATTTTTTTTTCCTGTATAAATCAGACTTCCATAAAAGACTTGCTGAGCAAGAAAGGTTTTCTTATGTTGAAGTGATGTATTACGCAAATATTTTTCTAGGCTAAGTGTCTTTATTGTGTAAAACATTTACTGACTTAAGATACTTATTTTGCTGTCTGTTTTAATCATATCTTTTGAAAGAGTCTCAATAGATTTTTCCATTCGTAACATTATGACACTTGATAAGATGATTGATTATGAAGTGTTGAGAGCCCTGCCATGTGATCATTTATTTTTAAATACACATTTGTACTAGCCAATGCTTAAATTTCTTGCAGGAATACATAAGAGATGCGAAACATAAAGCTTGAGTCTGATCGAATCTGATGCCTCTGGAAATAGAGTGCCACAGTACCGTGGTCTTAAAATAACAGATTCTGACTGAAACTGGAACTTTGCAGTGATAAATATTATGTAAAAAATTATGGTCCATCTTTGGTACAAAATAAAAAAGATGTACAGCTGTGATGCAGGCGAACTAAAATGTGTTTGACGATGATATCTTTCTTTCCCTGTGCAGGTGCCTGTGTCAGTGGCCATGATGACTCCCCAGGTGATCACCCCTCAGCAAATGCAGCAGATTCTCCAGCAGCAAGTGTTGTCTCCGCAGCAGCTTCAAGCTCTTCTCCAGCAGCAGCAAGCAGTTATGTTGCAGCAGGTAATGTGGGTTACCTGCTTTGGACCCTTAGCACGGGGCTTTCGCACAAGTGTCAGCCAGATTTTATGGGTCTTATTTTTGTCGTGTTTGGGCACTCATTACACCAAAAAGAAGGAAATTAAGTGTGAAACTTCTCAGTCTTTAAATGTCTTGTTTTAATTGCAGAAGTGTAAAATTACAATTTTGAAACATTAAATATTATGTTAAAAACAGCAGCAGCAGCAGTGGCAGATGCATTACAAATACCGAACAAATTGTTATTTAAATTTTCGAGTGCTTAGGCACATTTTAATTGTAGACTTGCCAAAGGAATGTGCAAATAGAGTTGTAGATAATTGTTGCTTTAAAATTCATAACACTGTAGTGCTCCCTTTAGTCACGTAAATGGTATGCGGTTATGAAATTTGAACTTAACGGCTTGTTTCATCATGGGAAAAAGTTTTTTTATTTTGTTTGCTTTTACATCCAAAAAATTGTCCGAGATAAGGCTAAAAAGGAGGAGGAGATTACTGTTTCCTTAGCACAAAATCTGGCAGCTAAGTGAAGAGTCCGTGAGCTTGTTATTCATACAAAATAGTGTCAGTGATCAGTACCTCAGTGTAACACAGTGAGGCTTTTTGGTTGGGTGCTTAATTGTCATACAGAAAATGATGTGTCTGTTTGTCATAGTCAGAGCTCAATCACTGTATGTTTAAACACTTAATATCCAGTACCGTGATCATTACAGGCAATTCACCTTCACTTGTGAATCCAGCATCCCGCTAAACAGATTGACAGATTAATTACTTTTTTCCCCTAAGAAACAGGCAGTTTAGTTTGGCCTTAGTGACTTGTAGGTTTCTTGCAAGTGGATGAGTACAGCTTCTGATTTGTTATATAGGACATGTGAGGAACTTAGGTATAGTTATTTGAGGAGTTAATTTGGCTCTTGCATTCCCTTTAGAATACAGATTTTCTATACCCTTCTGTTTAGGATATTTTGGAATCTGCATTGGAAAATTTCAGAACCGCCTTGGAAAAAAATGTATGTAGATCTGCCTCTTCAAATCACATTTTTTGTTATGAGGTGATTCTTAATGGCTACGCTACCATATGCCAATCTAGAAGAGTTTAGGAGATTTATAATACTTGAAACTTTTGCCTTTATTTATTAAAGTCAAAATGGTTTATTCAGCAACAACTACAAGAGTTTTACAAGAAACAGCAAGAGCAGTTACATCTTCAGCTTTTGCAGCAGCAGCAACAGCAGCAGCAACAGCAGCAACAGCAGCAGCAACAACAGCAGCAGCAACAGCAACAACAACAGCAGCAGCAGCAGCAACAGCAGCAGCAACAGCATCCAGGAAAGCAAGCAAAAGAGGTAGGAGCTAAGACCCTTGCTGATGCATACTAGTCTGAGCCGTCAGAAGCTTGGAAAAGACAAGGCTGGTTTAGATTTTTTCCTATAGCAAGGATGCAGCTATCAAAGATTTGTTCTTATGTTTTTACCAGGCTTAATAGCAGTGCCAGTATAATTCTCCTGCTCCCCTTTCTGAGACACAGGATTTGAGCAGTCTGGTGCTGCTGTCGTCTAATGTTCGCTAATGAATCCGAGTGTGCAAAGAACAAGCTGTGTGGTGGACACCGTACTGATTATCTTGTATTCAGAGGCAAGCTGCGGTGGGGAAGGAGCCTTACTTTTCTCAGTGGCACAGCTCAGAGAGCATGCAAATGTAGTCCATGGCTGAAAAAGAGCAATTGAGCACAGATTTCAAAGTCACAGGCCCCTGATTAATGAACTGCTACTGTAGGTTTGGAGTGGCGAGTGGAAAGTTACAGTTTGATGTGCTCATAAATCAACCTGACAAGCGGGTTTCTCAGGCCTGGCTTGCACTTGTCAGCAAACTGCATCAAATATAAACATAACACAAACAAAACATGTTGAAGTAGTTAAATTGATCAGCAGGTATCCTAGACGTTGTCTTCAAGCTGCCCATTATGCAAACCTCGAGGAAGCAGTTGTGACCTCCTGAGGCTTTGTTTCTGTTTGGATTTGCGAATAGAATTTCAGACAGCCATCAACTACGGAATAGAAATTGCTCCCGTATTTCTCCGGAGGCTCTGGGCAATCCACATGACTTGCTCCATTATGCAGTCTGTTTTCCAGTGAGCGCATCAGAAGTTTCTCTTTTCCCCAAACTAGAAAGGAAAGGTCTTCCACAGCAGCTTGTCTTTCTCTGAAGTGTGACTGCCTTCTCATACCCTCCTGAGTCTTCGCAGACTCCAGTTTGTCTTGAAATGCCTCACAAAATTGGAACTTATACTTTTGCTCCATAATAGGGCACTTCATTGCCTTGAATGCAATGCTCCTTTTAATGTATTCCAACAAGAAAAGAGAGGGAGCTAACAGGCCAGTGAAATGAAGGCTACATCCCAGTTTACTAATAGATCACTGGAGACCGCATTCATGGGCCACTGCGGACCAAACTTAGTCAATTGGAAAAACAAGAGTGCCTTTGAATCACAAGCTGCTGTAAAGAGTTACACTTTTAGCATAGATAAATTTGTTATCATCTGCCATGAGCTGGGTTTTTTTTTTTTTGGTTTGAAACAGCTGTTATATACTTTCTCTTGACCCTTTTCTTTAGTGTGTCATTAAGTGTATCTTGCCATTTTCCCTAACACCTAATAGCTTGAATGAATATAATAGAAAAATTCAAATGCTTTCACTGCCTGAGCATTCTGCAAATAGCGTTATTATTTAATAACCAAGATTAAAGAGAAAGAAGTTGATTTTACGTTTTTGGCTTTCTAGCCTTCACTGCACACTTTGCTCTTTGCTGCATTTACTTCCCTCCCTCTCTTCTCTCTATAGCAGCAGCAGCAGCAGCAGTTGGCAGCCCAGCAGCTTGTCTTCCAGCAGCAGCTCCTCCAGATGCAACAACTTCAGCAGCAGCAACATCAGCTGAACCTTCAGCGTCAGGGACTCATTTCCATCCCCCCTGGCCAGTCTGCTCTTCCTGTCCAGTCTCTGCCACAAGGTATTCGAATAATATGTGATCAGAGTAATTTCTAATTCAGAACTTTTTTAACCATTCCATTTGCATCTGAACTTCAGCAGTTTCCCATTATGACACTTAAGCATACTCTATTATTAGAACTTTATTATTCATATTACCAAATTTTCTCGAGGCTGATAAATTTTACATGGTACTTTCATGGAAGAAAACAGCTTTTGAATGTTTTTTCTTAGATATAAAATGTGTATTTATTAACCTTATGTGCTGAAAACAATTCCTAATAGCAACACAATTCAAGCACCATTGCTTTTCTCTGAGGAATTACTGAAATCTGATTTAGTGGAAATGTTATCGTTTTGTTTAATATGACTGAACAGATATAAAATATATCAGACAGTGATATTAAAGCCATTCCAAAACTCACTTTTTTTTTTTTTTTCTAAGAAATGAAAGTGTTTGGCGTTGAAAAGCATTTTGAATCTTCACTTTATGACATGTAAATTTAGGGACAAACCTTAGGATTCATTTTCTTTGCTATTCCTTTGTATTAAATATGTTAAATATGACAACAAGTTTTGAAGGTGGTGAGTGATTCCAATAGCAATGAATTATGACTGATGAATAACAGTATTTTTTTAAAGAAAAATAACAAATAACAATAAATTTTTCTTTTTGGAAAGAAAAATTTCTCTTTCTCACTTTGATGAAGATTTCTTAATGCTGAAAATGAGCTCAAACTCTGCAACCTGACACAGATACATTCATGGTTGAAAGAAACAGGGCACACACTTTTGAAAAGTAAATTGACTTGGAGAGAAATGCTGCTTACATTTTAAGATAAGGCCAAAGACTTCTCATCTTAAGGACTCTGTCTATAACCTGTGAGGCATGTATTTGTGTTACCGTGGAGAGGTGAGCTAAATGTCTGTCATAAAAATTACACAATACTCTGATCTCCAATCCTGCAATGAGCATTGTTTAGACTGCGTTCATGACAGGTAACATTAGTTTTAATTGGTCTTTATGCATGTTTCTGCTTCCTCCACCAGATAGCTATTATGACTATTATGAAATCGAAGCTTCAGAAATTAGATGAGCAAAAGCAGATTACACAGTATATAGATAACAGTGTATAGGAAAAAAAAAAAAGACAAAAAAAGGGCATGAGAAAGACTTACCCATGAAAAACCTCAATCCTTAGAAAGCAGCGATTACAGATAAATGTGTAAATTCCGTACGTTACTCTGTGTAGAAAATCTATGATACAAGCATCTCTAAAGTCATAAAAATTACAACAACAAAAGAGTACAAAGTAAGCTATCTCCCTAAATATAAGTATTTGAGAATAGCAGTGGGGAGACAAGCTGATTCATGAATTTGGACACGTGAGGCTGGTAATGCTGGTTTCCTTTTATATAAAGTCACATTGGATCAGAATGGAAAAAAGCAATTGAAACACAACCTCCCTCCAAACAGCTTTACCTCCTGCAACCTCCTCTCGTGCCATCTGTTGCAAGAGGAATTCCTCAGGTTTTCTCGCACATTAAGCAGTCCCCATAGATTTCCCTAAGCACTCCTACCCAATTGCGTTGATATTCATTAGTTTAATGTAACACTCATTCATCCCCTTCTAGTAGAAAACCAGAAAAAATAGTACCTTTTAAAATATATTTTTAGGAGAAATAGTAAACAGTTCTTTTCAAGATACTCAAGGAATTAAGTGTAAGTCATGATAAAAAGATTAATACTAAGGAAATTAAAAAATACAAAATTTTACAATTAAAATAGGTCTGAATTGTTCTTTTTAAAGTAAATTAATCTCTTGTTTGTTTTTGCCTTGATATTTTTTAATTATAATGAATTCCAGTCAAGTATTTAATTCTTTCATTTTTCTCTCTTAGTAACTACTGTGTATGTAGGGTTCCTTTAGATACACAAGTTAATTTATAGGGCTTCGATTTTTCATAGCTCTGATGTGAATATGAAAACTTAAAAACATAAGACGGCTTCCCCTGGAAAACCTCTCTGCATCTCCAGAAAGCCCACTCTCTCTGTGCCAGGTGAGGTGAAGTTAGAGTGATGAGGGTAAGAAGGAAAGCCTTTCCAGCAAGATGCTAAAACAAAGAGAGAACAAAATGCAGAGTTGTGACTGGCTCAGAGTTCTTTCTGTGGGCTTCTCTTGCAGCACGTTGTGTCTTTCATAGGAAGGTACAGCACCCAGTCCAGTTCACAACAATGTGATGAAGATTAATAGGCTTCAGATCTGTTGAGTCTGTCTCGTAAATCTCAAACATCCAAATACATCCAAATATATCCAATATTTACAAATCCAAGTAGTACCTACTAGATTTAACATAGATGTCCCTGCATTGGGGTTTGCATAAAAGTAAGAAGATCAAACTTCCTTTGCTTTTCTCATAAAATTTAGCACATTTTATGACAGATATTTTCTGTGGCAGCATTAAATTAAACCTCCAGAATTTATTTAAGGTAATACACACTGGATGTGGTAAAAGGATGTTTTTCTCCTTCCACTGTGCTGCAAGATGTATAATATGGTTATACAAAGGGATTTACATATGTGTAACACAGATATTTTAGTATACATCTGTTTAAATTGCTGAGTTACACGGACTGCTAGAGCAATGAAAGAAAGGAGGATTCATATTTATAAATTATTGGTCATAAAGAGTCCTGTAAACTACGAAATATTAGTGACAAAGAGAGCATGGGTTTTGTATTTGTTAGTATGAAAAGACATAACTTCCAAGTACAGCTATGAGATTTGCTTATATAAACAGTCTTTGCTCCAAGTATAGTTTCTGCTTTTAAAGGACAGGAATGTTTACCATGTTTTCTTCATGGTCCAGTATAGCAAATAAGATACAGAGGTGTTTCAGTATTGGTTTTCTTTTTTTTTGGTGACAAGATCTTCAGTACGTCATATCCAAGGCCAGCGGCTTGCTGTGAGTTACTTCCATGTAATGCTGCATTGATGCTAGCAAAATGCAAAGGACTGTAAATGACAACAATAAATAAAAAAACACCACAAACCCAAACCCCTAAGTTTTGATCAGGTCATGTAGGAAAATGAAAAACAGATGCATGGATGGGTTTTATAAGTGGTAGTTTTATGAAGTATTTATTCAAACATAAAAATAGAGTAGATAGTGGTGAAAAGTTGTAAAACCAACCTCAAAATCCCTAAATGCTTGGTGTTAGTAAACTGCACAGCAAATCAGTATTTGCCCTTTTCATTATAGTTCCTAATTTTTATCCCACTCTGAATCCTCTTCCCGATCCTTTTTCCTTTAAAGTAGTGTGCAGAGGGTATTTTGAGGGTTATTACAACCTACAAAACTTTAAAACTTACCCTACTTTTACATCAGACTAAAATATGTCAGCCATTTTACAGGTCTCTTGTAAAATGGGAGTTGGACTTTTTTAGATATGGAAACTACCAAATTGCCATAATTTACAATTAATTACAAATCCGCTTATTAACTTTATACTTTTTAAGTGCCTGCCCTTAATCCTTTTATCCTAAAAGGCAGCCTTTCAGAGTGCTCTGAAGAAGTGATAAAATTAACCAGCCCAAGCCCAGAGAGAAATTTCTTTCTGATTTTAAAAAAATCTCGGTGAGCTAGGCAGCCTGGAGACGCAGCTCCATCCATGACGTGGCTTCATGCCGAGGAAGGGGCTGCCCAGCAGTTGCCCAGAGGGGCAGGACACCCCTGGCCATGGGGAGTGCTTCAGCAGCTCACAGCCCTCATTCATTCACCCAGCTTCTGGGGAGGGTCTTGCTCAGCTCACCCAGGGCCCAAAGTTTGATCATCTCTGATGAAAATTTTCTCGCTGCAAGACATAAAGGTATATTTGCCCTCTGATTGTTCGAACAGATGGGTTTATTCTTGGTTTTTATTTTTTCAACACAAAATTAGTTTATTTTGTTCAACAGCAGGAGGAAGGGAAGACTCCGAAGTAAATAATGTACTGTGTATATCATGCCACCTAAATGAATACATTACTTTTCATTTTGATTTGTGATTACATTTGCGGGTAACTATTATTTACAACGCTAAAATAGGTTATTTGCAGGGTTGCTGGAACATACCTCATGAACACGACAGTAATTACTTACCTTCATTAAACAATTACAACTAGTATTACCATCACTCCTGTTACCCATCTCTCTAATGCAGTAAATTAGAGCCTGGCTTCTTTGCTTGCTTCCTTAAAACCTAGCTCTTCACTGTACAAATATGCTAAAACCTCCAGTTTTAAGACTTACATTCCAATCAACTCTTTTTCACTTTGTCATTAACTGAGTTTGCCAATGGGTGTTCGTATCTAAGGTAGAGATGCAGGACACAAAAGAGTAGTCTAAAAATGAACTCCTTTCATAATTCAAAAAAAATTAATACCTTCCAACCAATTTGTTTCCACACTACCTCCAGAAATTATTATTTCTGTAAATCACTACTAGTCTATTTTTTAATAGCTTTCTATGCTTCGTGGTGAGACAGCTATTGAGAAGTATTAAGGAACTTACTGTGCTTTTTCATAATTTTTTGTTGAATCCATTTTAGTAGTCTGAGTTCCTATGTCTTCAAAGTAAAACATTATCTAATAAACAGATTTGCTAAATAGTGAAAAACAATCTTTACGTCTCTCTGCTATAGCCAAACAAAACTATCCTTAATGAAAAGTTTGAATGGATAGATACATTTTAATCCTTTTCTGAAGGATAATAAATTTTTAGCTTTTTCATAAAAGAAAAAGAGCAAAATTTTGATTCAGACAACATCAGCACTTTGAATGTTTTACATTCCAGCAGATCTAGATACCACGGGCATGTCTTACCTAATTTCACTTGTTGAGATGAGGTACAGAAGACAGAATTAGATATTAAGATACCTCTGGCCAAAACCATGTCAGGCTGAAAAACCTGACCGTGAAACAAAATCTTTCACAAGAAGCTCTCTAGGCTTCTCATTCTTTTCTACATTTCGTCTAGTGTTCTTCAAAAGAAAGATGTCAAACCTGTAAAGACTGGCAGTGACAGAAGGTGTATATGTTTCTGATGTACTCTTCACCTGTCAACATCTGAATTTCCTGTCTTAGGTTCGGTAGCAAGATAAGAGAATGCTCACAGCTCTTCTCTTGCCTTTGTTTTGGGAGTGTTTACTTCAGGCAGAAGCATATTGTAATGGAAGTTTCTGGTTTCCATGGCGTCACGTAAAGTGCCCAACTCAACAACACTAACACAAATATATGCATGCATTGTACGAGACATTGCTATTTGTGACAGAGGAGGAATCCTGGAAACTACAAGTTTCCAGGCTACAAGTGGAGTAGAGAGCAAATTTAAGCTCTGCCTGCAAAGATCTGGTGGCCAGACTCCAGTATAGTACTGTTCATATAGCAGAGAAGTTTGAGAAGCTCTTCAAATTTTGTATGGCTGCTTATCACTCCAGAAGACGGCTGAGACAGTCTCCTTTCTCCTAGCCAATCCCTCCGATTTATTTTCCACAGTAAAGCTGGACAAAAAAAGTAGTGTCGAATATGATGGTCTGCACTACCTGTAATATCATCTGTGTTGAGAGGGTTGTAAATAGGCCAGTTTTGTTGGCTTTCTGGTTGTCTGGTGCCACTGAATGGTACCAAAGAGCTTAAGTGGTCACCAGTATCTGGCTCTGCACTGTAGTGATTTTGTTCTTCCAAGTAGTCACTTTGGTTTTGCCTCTTAAGACATGCTTTTAAATAGAACAATTTTTGTAAATATTAAACAGGACTAATGAATATGTGGCTGCCATCATTAAAGTCAGATGCATTAGGCACAAATGTTAAACCTGTTATGATCTCATTGATTTCATTTTTGTCTTCTGATTTTTCTCCTTCTAGTCTTCTTCCCCCACTCCCTGCTCTTGTTAAGTGTTTAAAGAGAATATCGATTTTTGTATCCTTGGTATAGTATGTTTTCCTAGTTTCCGTTACATGTTTGGTTAAGAGGAATTATAAAACCTGAGTTAACTGTGGATGCATTGAGTTATGTTTCCATGTCAAGAAATTGATTAAGCAGACAACAAAAATCTTGTCTGCAAGTATAGTTAGGTTTAGGTTTTTTTTTTCTTTTTAAGATGTAGTTGCAAGTTCTTTGTAGCTTTCACTCTTGAATCCTTAAGCAATGTTTTCAGAAGGAGTATAATGTTAAAATTGGTGATTTCTAATTGACTGTTTATAACACAAAAGAAGACAGTTAGATTACCTGGATTCTGACAGAAGAAAAATGAATTTATGTTTTACTACAGGTTGATTGTGCTAGAAAAACAGCATTAGCTTTATTGTTGGCATTAATCCATTAATAACACTGAGCTCATTATATGAAACTCTTTATTTTGTTATATTAGTGGGGCTCTCTTTCATTTTATAGCTGGCTTAAGTCCTGCTGAGATTCAGCAGTTATGGAAAGAAGTGACTGGAGTTCACAGTATGGAAGACAATGGCATTAAACATGGAGGGCTAGACCTCACTACTAACAATTCCTCCTCTACTACCTCCTCCACCACTTCCAAAGCATCACCACCAATAACTCATCATTCCATAGTGAATGGACAGTCTTCAGTTCTAAATGCAAGGCGAGACAGGTAATTCTGATGAGATTTCAACTGTGCTTATCGTTTGACGTAAAACTGTTGTTTAACATCATAAGTCCCATTATTTCCAATCAAAAAATTAACACTGAATATAGGTTACTTTAGAGATTGTGGAGACCTGATTTTTCAGACTTGTTTGTCAGAAGGGTATCATCTTCAATAACCATGTCTAGTTTTGCAGACACAAGAACAATTACCTGCCTGTAGTTTTATAACACATGAACTTTTGGTAGTTTTGGTAAAAATTAGAAATGCCAGAATAGAGGCATAAATGCAGATTTGCTGGCACTTTTGTAGGCACATAGTTTCATTCGTATTTGAGTTAACACATCTGGCGGTCAGGCCCTTGCTGTTAAATCACACTGCTGGTTTCATAGTAAATGTACATATATCTTAGTTGTCAAGGCTGTAATTCAATGCAAAAATTCCATATAAAAAGTGCTTTAAAAAATAGTAGATTAAAGCAGTTCTTATGTTGTTTGTCTCTTGTGAAGTAAACCACCAAATTTTCCTTCTTATATGCAGGACAGTAATGTAGTTGACACATTTCATGCAAATTTTCAGTGCCGTTAGTATAATACAATAGAATTCAACCATATGAATAAAGTTAAAATCATTTTTCAGACACATAGATTTTCTCCACTATTCCTTATTTTCAAGTAATGAATTAAATGCACATAAGAATATAGTGTCTGTAGCACTTATTAGTAAATAGATTAATATAATTACATGTAGATGATCTCAATATAACATGAAATTTATTTTGTATCTACATAACCTAAATTGTAAATAATTGTATTTTCAAACAAATATTCTATATATTATTTTATTATAATAGGAGACTGTAACTTAAGTGTCTCTGGTCTTCATGTGACTGTGAGAACATTTTTCTGCTGTTATTTTGTATTATTTAAAAACTGGTACTTCTCCAAATATCTTTATAATAGTACTTTTAGTTAGTATTACTTTTGTGATTACGTCCCAGAGAATGGTTCTTTGTTTCAGGATGTTAGAGCTGACACCCACCTCCATAGGACAGTCCCCTAAAATTCTTTGATAACTGTACACAGATGAAACTATTGTAGAGGTTCCAAAAAAAGACACCAAATACCGCTGTTTTTTTTTATGAAGCCAAGTAGCTACTGGAAGCAATGCTTGTGAGCAAAAATATTTGTTAATGGAAGTGACTATATTTTTATATACATTTAAGCAGAAAATCCAAATATTTTATATTAACATTCACAATATTCATAAAGTCTGACTGTCCATCTTCAATATTTCGTCTCAGAATTGATCACTTCTGAGTATATTTTTTATTTATAGGTAAATGTTACACCAAGGTCATATGGCAGAATTAGCATATGGTATTATACAGTCATCTTATTTTTTCACCCTTTATTAACAGTCATCTTTGGCTCTATTTCTTCTCTAATTGGAACATCATCTAGCCTTGGCAGTTGAACTATTCAATAGAACGATTAAATTTTTCTGACTGCTCTGAGCTAAATTGACCTGTTTTGACCTGTTTGTCACTGATCGTAACCTGACAGGCGCTAGCAGCCTCCAACGATTATGGCTTTTGAGATGAATCTGACGCCTTATTCTTTTGCTACAGCTCGTCACATGAGGAGACTGGGGCCTCCCATACTCTCTATGGTCATGGAGTTTGCAAATGGCCTGGCTGTGAAAGCGTTTGTGAAGATTTTGGACAATTTTTAAAGTAGGTGGATTTTTATTTGTTGGTACAGGGTTGTTTAAGGCAATGGAAAGAGAAAGATGGCAAACAAAGTTTTACTGTAAATCATGTCAGAGATTTTTTTGTGTATTCCAAGTAACTGGATAATCAAGGCTATCTGCAGAGGGTCAAATTGTTATCCTTTCTTTCATGTCGAACACTTTTGCAGGCCTTTCAATAGCAGAGTGTTTAATCTTCTTATTATCCTTTACTGAAAAGGAGCCTCAGAAAATTTGAAGAGATGCTTTAGATTCTGTATTGGATAGTGAGGGCATGAAAAAGCATGTTTTAAATTCTGACAGTTTGTATAGTAGGAACTAATGTGTATAGTATAAATAAAAAACCACAAAGGACTAAGTGTTGCCATTTAACTCTCACCTCCTAATTTAGTTTTGCATTTACTCTTGTTTGTGTACAAAATACATAGAAAAAAAAGCACTGTGAACAGGTGGGTTTGCATCTTTCAGGACTGAACAGTGATGTCAAAAGTTTTCACTTTTTGTATTTGGTTTTGCCAGCTATTATCTAAAAGAGAGCCTTTAGAAAATAAGTGACATAGCTTTTGCTTTTCATCTGCAGCTTCAAACTACAAGGAGTTTCTGCATTTTTTTAATATTTTTTTTTTAAAGTAGTTACCAGTATTTCTGTGTTCGTTTGAATTTTCAACAACAGCACTGATTTTCTACCTATGTACATTATGGACTGGTCTTTGTCAGACGAGCCGTACTCATTTTGGCATGCAATAGATCGTAATGGAAAGCTACAGATAGGCTTATATAGATGAGTAACTTCAGGGGCTGAGACTCTTATGTTGTCATGGTGCAGCTAACAGGGTGAATGAACTGTTTCATGCTTCATCAACAATTAAGTTAATTAGCTCATTTGAAATTGCACTGCTTTGTTGCCAGGATGTTGGCAGAAACATCAAAAAGATGTGTTTACAAATGGTAGACTACAGGGTATATAACAGAAACACCTTAACGACAGACCCATAAGTACTCAGTGTCACAATAACTTCTATAGTAGAATGATAGCAATACGTTTCATAAAATATTTGCAATGCTTTCTTCATCTTTTATGCTATCTGTCAATTTTAAATGAAGTAACTTATACTGACTTGCAAATCTTAGGTAGATATCGCTTGTGATAAATTTTGTTTATAAGTAAGTGCATTAAGTGGAATGTCAAAATAATGGCTTATTATTGGAGAAAACTGTATAGGATTTAGAAGAACCTGATTTACATAGGTTTGTATTAAAAGGAAAATGAAATCTCCCAAATTCAACATAGTGTTCTAAATATTATTAATACTAAAAATTTAATTTCATTTAACTCAAGCATTCTCCTTTTCAAGAAAAACTACATTTTCTAAATATGTCCATCCTTCTAGACTATAGTGATGCTAATTCTATGGGCAGACTTTGCACATCCATTATGTCAGGTCTCTCCTTATAATCCGCAATTACTAAAACCATTTTGATTAAGGCGGTGTAGCGCTAGGTTTACAAATGCTTTTGCTTTCCAGAACCAAATAAGCCCGGAAAACATGAAAGCAACATACAACATCTTGATAATTCTGGTGCAGAGTCAATCAGGGTTTACAGCAATGTCATGGCTTTTGTCCTATGCACTGTCAAAAAATGTTTGAGAATATTTTATTATTTCATGTTTTCATTTAATTGTCTTCTATGCCCTGAAAACAAATAAGAAGTCATGGTGCTGAATAGGCAAGGTTGTTTATGAAACAGAAATATTCCTTCATTTTACACTAGCGTTAAGATGGAAATCAATACACAACCTTGCATTAGATCCTTTAGTACCTTTTCATGTTCACACTAATGCAAAATCCCCATTACAATTAAAAAACATTTTCTTTCAATTAAATATCAACTTTTAGCCCAAAGATTGACCATTTTTCCAAACCATTAACTTTATAGGGGATGACAGGACTAATGGCTCTAAGTTTTCAAGGCTTTGCTCTTAGTCTAATCTTTGTTACGATGTTTTAGGTTCTCTGACTTGAAACAATATGATACCTGTGTTAAGAGAGTTAATGCAAGTATACTGTACCAAAATGAAATATTAATAAGGTACACTCCCCCAGTCTAATAGCGTGTATTTCTATAATATGCTTTTGACAACTTTGAAGAGTGCCTGGTTTATGAAGTGAACTCTAACTTCTTGTGCTCAGAAAATGGTTTACCTAGCAGTTTGATTTTTTTTAAAAAAAGTACTGTGTAGAGCATCTGAGAAGGAAGATTAAGACAGAAAACACTAGCTTTGCTTCGCTTTCCTAATAACAGTGAATCATTTAGGGTGAAGTGACAAATACCTTGCAATAAATGACCTAAAGCCACAAAAGCTATTTTCACCTTCAGTTTTGTTTATCAGGTAAGAATTGGTTTTAATTTTAAGATAATTAAGGAGGACACTCCAAATACCTACAATTCTTTTGAGATATTCTGAATAGTTAAAGAAGTTATACATTGTGAACTGTGGACTGGATTCGTATTTGGAAACATACGCATTGCTTTCAAGAAAGTACAGTTGATCTTCTCCATAATGTATTTCTGTACGTACAGAAAAACCTAATCCTGTATCTTTCCTTTGAAATACTTCAACTCTAGACGCAAAACCACAGTTTATATTTTACAGAGAAATTTTCTATCTTGACAAAATGGTGTTAGATTACAGTTGCTCATGCATGCAAGATCAGTTTTGACTATTCGGTAAAAACAACAGCTTTTGGCTTAAGAAAAACTTCAAAATGTAAAGACAGATTAGAAAAAGTCATGACATAACTAGAAAGAAGATGACAAGATTTAAACAAAATTCCAGGCACTGAAACAATTAGAAGAGTGACAAAAATGCTTATGAAAATTCAGAATTTTACTGTGAAACAGGTGTTGACAGAAGCTAACCATCTTGCTGGTCTCTAAGTGAGGAACCCAGGAGATGGCTCAAAGCATTTAGTAGTAGTTCTTTGTGATGGTTTTTTAAATGTCAGAGTGCAATAACATATGACAAAACTTGAGTGTATTTTGTCTGCAAAATTAATTATTCCATTGGTCTTAAGTCAGTTTGAGTAGGAAAGATTTGACTTTTAGAGCTTAAACTGAAAGGTTTATAACAAAACGTTCCAGCCAGCAGACGAGTGTTCTTTAACCTGCATGCAGCAGACGCCAGCAAACATAACACAAGCTACAGTGCAAAGACGAGTAATGTTTTCATCTGTAGAGACAAGGAAAAAAAATCATTCTAGAGAAGACGGGCCAGCTTTCCAACAGATTGTGTTTATTTCTGGGGCAAGAGAGCATGTTTAAAAGTCTACAAAGAAGAGTGACCAAGCATCATTGTAAGGATGACAAAAACAAAACCATAAAAGGAAAAAACTCACTTAATAAAATGTAATTAGTGCCATATAAAACTTGCTGCATTTTTTTTTTCTTTCTTTCAGCTGCAAAGTGCT